AATCGGTGCATTCACCCGAGACCTGGTCTTTACGCGCGACAGGGGCCTCGTTCTTGTCCCCCGAAACCGGCACGCAGTATTGTCTGGTCCCGGTGAAATGTTCGACGTACATGTGCCGGGACCAAGCGACGGTTTCAGTAATGATCAATCGTCTCATCAGGCCAGCGTAACTTGATGAGACCTGAAGCAGGGTCAGCAGGCGATCATTAATTGGATGCCAGGCCCCCAGGGCGCCTACAGCAAAGCCATCGACGTGAACGATGTAACCGCGCCTGCGCATGGAGTCGGCCGAGGGGCTGGTACTTGCGTACCTTTTCCAACCTCGCCTTCTCCAGCGCTTCGAAAATATTTTCGAAGGGCACGGTCACATCGATCATGACGACGGATCTCGACGGCTCATGCGTCACCACGAGGTCGGGACGCATGGCCGTCAGATCTTCGTCCACGTCTGGGACTGTCCTGTTCACCCTTAGATCGCCTGGGAGTCTGGATGCCGCAGCAAGCCGCTCGACAATGCGGTTGTGCCGCAGTTGTCGAGTGGCCGCGTGGGGGCCGCAGTGGCAGAGCACATGGGGCAAGGTTTCCGACTGATTTCCGCATTCCATTTTATTATCAGTAAATAAACTTGCATTTATTCAACCAATATTCCCAGTGGGACAATACCCCACTGGGTTGTTACATGATTCCTTACACGGACGGCCTTTCAGTTAAGTTACAATAAGAATGGAGGGGCTGTTACGTTCCTCTCCTGACGCGTAGGTAAGGCGGGTTGTCTTCGCTCAGGCAACATCCACAGCAGTGGGGTCGAGCGAAAGGGGAAGTACGCAATATGTACAAAGGGTAGTACTAGATACAGCCGTAAGGCTTGTAGAGTCAAGTGGACAACTAAGTATGTGGACCATAGCAGATAGGTAAATGACTTGTATATATATATAGGTAAATGAACCTCTAGACATTTAAGTATGGACCTATAGATAGATAGAGATTGAAGAGTGTATGGTCCAGCCGGAAGTTGACTAGATATACCCCTTCGGGGGAAGTGTAGCTGCACCAGGGCAATCCCTCATTGCAGCCTCCTCACGCCCCAAGCCAATGAGCCGCCGCGTCTTTGATATTTCGCGATATTAATGAGTCAGAGGTCGAACTCAGCGCGGCCGAGATGTCCCAGTTGAATTTATTTATTTGTTTATTTATTTATTTATTGCGGCGAGTGGTCCAGGATTGAGCTGAGCGGACACTTACTGTCGTGGTGATAAATAAAGTTGTCTAGTTAAGTTAAGAGTTACGAGAGAGTGGGATACTACCAGTGTTGTCATAAGCTAGAAGATTGCTGTTAGCACTGTAGTGCTAGCGTCAAATTAGAGTTAAGAAGTCACGCCGGCGGAGTCTTCAATTTCGCCAGTGCCGTTGTGTCCGCTCTGATCTGGTGCTGCCATTTCGCGTGCCACGGGGTTTCCATGGGGGAGGGGGGAGGGGGGGGGGCTCTGTTACCGGGAATCGATATTGCCTGATCCCGGTTATATGTTCCACATATAGGTCGCGGGACCAGGCGATGGTTTCCGTTGTCATAAGTTGTCTCATCAGGCCGGCGTATCCTGACGAGACACGTAGCAGAGCCAGCAGGCGATCATTCCACGGGTGCCAGGCTCCCAGGGCGCCTACGATGAAGCCATCGACGTGCACGGTGTAACCGCGCCCGCGCAGCGAGGGGTTGATATTTAATTATCTTCTCCAGCCTCGCCTTCTCGAGCGCTTCGAACGTGAGTTACATCGAGCACGACAACGGTTATCGACGGCTCATGCGTCACGACTATGTCGGGTCGCAGGGCCGTGAGATCTTCGCCCGCACCTGGGACTTCCTGGTTAACCCGGAGATCGCCCGGGAGCCTGGAGACCGCAGCAAGCCGCTCGACAATGCGGTTGTGGGGACCGTGGCAGAGCACATGGGTCAAGGTTTCCGATTGATTTCCGCATTCCATTTTATCATCAATAAACATGTTCCCAGTGGGACAAGACCCCACTGGATAGGTACACTAGGCCCTTCAAGGGCGGCCTTGTGGCCTTTTTCTTATAATTAGACAGAAAGGAGGAGGCTGTATGGAGGGTCCGCCCCTGACCGGACGTGTTTATATGGCGTATTGTCCTCACTCAGGCAATTCAGTAGGCTCTAGTGACAGCCAGTCACAGAAAACAGGACATAGGAAATTAGATAAATGAATATATAAATATAAAAAAGGTAGTTAAAATTAAAATTGAAGTATAAGTCCACAAGTATAGCTAAAATACTAACTGGAATAAAGAGAAGTAAATAGATAGATAGGGGCATTTAGTTGTTACGGGGTAAAACGGTGACTAGAGGTTATTAAGTTTTAATATTAATGTGGCCGGACCTGGTGGCCTAGCTCCAGGTCCAGTCGCCATGCACGTCATGGCCGAGAGGACGCCGCGTCTTTTTATTTCCTCGCGGAGTTAGTATGCTTGGAGGACGAGCGCGGCGCGGCTAAACACTTAAATGCGTTAATAATATATGCGGCCCGGAGCTGTGTGGATGTTTATTTCGGGAAGCATAGATAGCTATAAAAACGTGAGATAGCTATTAAGAATGGTAGAAACGAGAGTCATTAGATAAAATAAAGACTAGCACAATTGTGCTAGCGTCAAACCGTAATAGTTTAATTTAGAATACTCGCTTCAGCAGAGTCAGCTGCTCTGCTATATTCATTACATCCACACGGACCTGGGACCGGCATCTCTAGCGCCGTGGGGGCCCGGAACGGGGGCAGCTCCGCTTCCTCGAGTTGATATTGCCGGGTTCCCAGAACGTCGAACACGTCACGAGACCACACGATCGTCTCCGAGACGATCAGCCGTCTCATCAGGCCAGCGTAACCTGATGAGACGCGCAGCAGGGCTAGCAGGCGATCGTTCCAAGGGTGCCAGGCTCCCAGGGCGCCTACAACGAAGCCGTCGACATGAACGATGTGGCCGCGCCCGCGTATGGAGTCTGCGAGGGGCTGGTACTTGCGTACCTTTTCCAACCTCGCCTTCTCCAGCGCTTCGAAACTATTTTCGGAGGGTACGGTCACATCGATCCTGACGACGGCTCATGCGTTACCACGAGGTCCGCCCGCGAGATCTTCGTCCACGCCTGGGACTGTCCTGTTCAACCCCAGATCGCCCGGGAGCCTGGAGGCCGCTGCAAGCCGCTCGACAATGCGGTTGTGCCGCAATTGCCGAGTGGCCACGTGCGGACCGCAGTGGCAGAGCACATGGGGCAAGGTTTCCGACTGATTTCCGCATTCCATTTTATTATCAGTAAATCATTTATTGCAGCACATGTTCCCAGTGGGACAAGCAACACCGGGTGAATACATTGCGCCCTTCATGGGCGGCCTCGTGGCCTTCTTCTTGTAATTAAATAAAAAGGAGGAGGCTGTAAATGGGCCCCTCTCCAGACGTGTTTATATGGCGTGTTGTCATCGGTCAGACAATTCAATAAGTATTAGTTACAGCCAATCGTTTAAAATAGCAAATAGAAATTATCATTGATACGTGTATAAATAGATATATGTATCAGTAAACTAAACTAGAATTAAGGTATAAATAAATTAAAATACTAAAATTGAGAATAAATAAATAAATAAGGGCACTTGGTTATTGCAGGCCAAAATAGTGACTGGAATTTGCTAAAGCTTATACTTAATGTGGCCGGGCCTGGTGGCCCAGCTCCAGGTCCAGCCGCCATGCACGTCATAGCCAGGTGGGAGCCGCGTATTCTTTACTCGCGGGATTAATAGGCTCGGAGGACGAACGTAACGTGGCCAAACCCTTGGGTGTATGCGGCCAGGAGCCGTGTGGATGTCTATTATCTAAAGACATGGATAAAATATAATATAATAGCTTTCATAGGATTAAAACTGAAGCGAGAGTCAATGAATAAAATCAGAGCTAGCACAGTTGTGTTAGCGTCAAATGTTAATAATTTAGATTAAAATACTCGCTTCAGCGGAGTCGGCGACTCCACTGTAGTCATTATTTCCACACGGACCCGGGACCGGCATCTCGAGCGCCATGGGAGCCCCGGAGGGGGGGCACCCTCGCTTCCTCAAAATGATATTGCCGGGTTCCCGTGACGTGTACGTCAAACACGTCACGGGACCACGCGATCGTCTCCGAGACGATCAGCTGTCTCATCAGGCCAGCGTAACCTGACGAGACGCGCAGCAGGGCCAGCAGGCGATCGTTCCAAGGGTGCCAGGCTCCCAGGGCGCCTACAACGAAGCCGTCGACATGAACGATGTAGCCGCGCCCGCGCATGGAGTCGGCGAGGGGCTGGTACTTGCGTACCTTTTCCAACCTCGCCTTCTCCAGCGCTTCGAAAGTGTTTTCGAAGGGCACGGTCACATCAATCATGACGACGGTTCTCGACGGTTCATGCGTCACCACAAGGTCGGGACGCATGGCCGCGAAATCTTCGTCCACACCTGTGACTGTCCTGTTCACCCTTAGATCGTCCGGGAGCCTGGAGGCCGCAGCAAACCGCTCGACAATGCGGTTGTGCCGCAATTGCCGAGTGGCCGCGTGGGGACCGCAGTGGCAGAGCAGATGCGGCAAGTTTTCCGACTGATTTCCGCATTCCATTTTATTATCAGTAAACAAATTATTTACAATTTTTTTAATATCTTTTTTTTACAGGAATTTCATCTAATTATTCATCTTTACAAAAGAAAGCGTCATTTATTTTATACAATATTATACACTCGTGTAACGAGTGTCGAATAGCTCATAAAATATATTAAGTACACAACAAGGAATGTATTAAAAAAGTCTTCGAATTGTGTGTGTTTAAAACATAATTTGTAATTATGTACTGCACCCGGATTCTTCATTTTAAATGATTGTTAGTAATAATATATATCGCGCGATTAGATATATTTGTCTTTTAAATATATAAATTCAACATGGGCGTCTTACAACCATACATTATATTTACCTGGCTGTTCTTTCCTTAATAATAAAGCTCATTTCTACCTAGATATTCTTTTCTCGCTATGAAATCCCATTTGATCCGCTGGTTGTTTTCTCTGGTAAACACTTCATGATCGTTGGTTCTATTAACTTCCACACTTCAGCGAGCTCAGAATGGCCGCGAATTTGGACGTTGACAAGACGTTGCAGAACCGTGGCGAGTATTTCTAAATGGGCGTGAACGAGTTGCGTCTCCATGTGTAAACAGTGCAACGAAAAGCAATTTCGTAGCTCGACGTTTGCAATTACCGATTCCTGAGCGACCATCTTATTTTCCAGGTATTCAACCGTGTCACTGTCAGTCCCGCGTATAACACCGTGCATTTGTCGCTTTTTTAAGGACAACATGGTGGACAATGCACGCTGATGATCGGCGCTGACACCGCGCTTGTGCCTCTCGCATAGGATTCTATGTGCTACCAGCACGTCCAATAAGAGATTTAGCCTTTCACATACCATTGTTTCTTCTCTGACTGCTTGCTGCAGCGCTCTCGTTGAAAGCAGATTAAATTCCTTTGAAATTATATGGAAACCTTTCTTCATCTCTTGCCAAATGGTGGAACCACCGGTGGCCCAGGCGGTGGTGCCATGAGGCTCCGAGGCCAAATTGCTCAACTGTGTACCCAGCTCCGCCATGTCCACCGCGTAACTGTGAGACCTTATTGCCAGACAATCAGCGATATTCTTCAGCCGAGAAATTCCAAGAAGTATCACGCGAATTTGATCGCGGCTGTTCGCGAATTCGGTCAACGTTTCCGGTGGCACCAGTTCCTTTGCCCTCGACGACAGTTCCAACGTCGCGAATTCGTCCGGCACTCGCCTGAATACCTCTCGAATTTTGTGCTGCGTCTCCTCGCCGGTGTAAGTGAAGAAGAATTGGACGATGTGGTCTTTGCTCACTACAGGATGTCGAGCACGGTGAGGAATCTCAGTAGGGATCGTCTCCTTTCTTCCAGAAATTGAGAGTCCGCTCCCACGATTTTTTTCGGCGGTAACTTCGGTATCAGCCTGTAGAGAAATCTTGCTAAGAGAAGCTCGTGCAACGATACGAAGTCGTTGTAGCGTCTATAAACGATGGAGTTGAATCTTTTGCTGGTCACTTGGTATTCCACGTGTTTCAAGAAAATCCCCTTTTTCTCAGGGACCAAGTTCACCTCTATTGTGTCCAGGTTGCATATATCTGAGTAAGTAAGGTTCAACTTCGCCGGATTGCTGCCTTTGTGCAACCTTTGAGCCAAAAGTGTCACCTCGGAGAGATCGCCCTGAACAGGAACAGGTAATTCTTGTGACTCGGAGTTCTCCAGGAGTTTGTCGCTCGGATGTTTCCCTTGCTGAGCAAACGCGACTAGTGCAAGGCCTTTGTATAATCCGCTCCTGGTTAGATAACCCGTCTTGCTGTCAACCAGTTCCCATATCTGGCTGAGAACGGAGCTGCTCAGCTGAGACTTGACAAGAAGGGACTTAAACACTTCTCGTTCCACGGTTCCGCTCGTGGGTGAGCAGATCTTCTCGTAGACTTCTCTGTAGAATGCCGGTATGCAGCCGAACGACAGATCGGTCGACGCCATATTGGATCACTTGTAGATCATCCGGGATCCTGCGAGATGGTTGCACCGCGGCTTTTCGAAAATACAGTCACGTCCCACGGATCGCCTTTTGCTGTTTCTATCTGCACTCGCGTTCCGTATTTTGATAGAGTGACAATACGACCTGTCGGTGGGGTATTAACGACGACACAGAAACACCAACAACATACGCCATTGCCGTGTGGCGCAAAACTCTACTTTCCGATTGATTTCCGCATTCCATTTTATTACCAGTAAATAAACTTGCTTTTATTCAATCCATGTTCCCAGTGGGGCATATCCCCACTGGGTTGATACATTGATCCCGTCACGGGCGGCCTCGTGGCCATTTTGTAAGTGTTACAATAGATATAGGGAGGGGGCTGTATAGAGGCCCCACTCCCAACGCGTGCATATGGCGCTGTGTCCGCTTTCAGACAATTTAATTACTTCTAGTCACAGCCAGCAGTGATTGGCAACCCCCGAGTGGTGACTAGAGTTTTATAGTGTTAATGTGGCCGGGCCTAATGGTCTCGCTCCCGGCATGGTGGCCATGCACGTCATGACCGGTAGGACGCCGCGTGCGCTTCTCTTCGCGAGGTTAGAGTTTAGGGGACGAGCGCGGCGCGGATGGCTTCGCCTTAGTAATAATGCATGGCCCGGGGGCATTTGGATATAGTTGACATAGGAAAAAAGAAGAAAAAAAATAATTTAGAATAGGTGTCGAATGCTAAAATAAATAGACCAAGACAGATGTCTCAGCATAGTCAGAGGTAAAATCAAAGCTAGCACAGTGGTGCTAGTGTCAAGTTTAGCGGCTAGGTTCCGGATTTAGCAGAGTCGGCGGCTCCACTGTAGTCTCTATTTCCACACGGACCCAGGACCGGTGTCTCGAGCGCCGTGGGGGCGTGCCCGCTTCTTCAAGATGATATTGCCGGGTTCCCGTGACGTGTTCGACGTATACGTCACGGGACCATGCGATCGTCTCCGAGACGATCAGCCGTCTCATCAGGCCGGCGTATCCCGATGAGACACGCAGCAGAGCCAGCAGGTGATCGTCCCAAGGGTGCCAACCTCCCAGGGCGCCCACGACGAAGCCATCGACGTGCACGGTGTAACCGCGCCCACGCAACGATTTGGCGAGTGGTTGATATTTGATGATCTTTTCGAACCTCGCCTTCTCGAGCGCTTCGAAAGTGTTTTCGAAGGGCACGGTCGCATCGAGCACGACGACGGTTCTCGACGGTTCGTGCGTCACGATTATGTCGGGTCGCAAGGCCGTGAGATCCTCGCCCGCACCTGGGACTCGCCGGTTGACCTGGAGATCGCCCGGAAGCCTGGAAGCCGCAGCAAGCCGCTCGACAATGCGATTGTGCCGCAACTGGCGAGTGGCCGCATGGGGGCCACAATGACAGAGCACATGCGGCAAGGTTTCCGACTGATTTCCGCATTCCATTTTATTATCAGTAAACGTTTATTTCAGTAAATGTTCCCGGTGAGACATGCCCCACCGGGTAAATACATTACGCCCTTCACGGGCGGCCTCGTGGCCTTTTTTTCTTAGTTAAATAAAATGGAGTGGGCTGTACATGTGTCCCACTCCTGACGCGCGATTAAGGTTCGCTGCCTCCTTGCAGGCCATTGACTGTGTGGTCGGGCCGGTGCGATATTCTCCGGTCCAACTCTGTTACCACACGTTTTTCTTTCTTGATACATGATCCCTCCGTCTTTCGTGCCAAGATTGACGGAGGGATGTCGAACTGAATTCGGGGACGAGGGCGCAGCCGAGTAATTTAATTTAAAGGCTTGTGTACGACCCAGGGCCGAGTGGATGCAAAGAAAATAAATAAAAAGGTTAAAATATATCGTTTGAAAACAATAGTCAATGTAATTAAAATAAATATGTCAAACCAGCAGTCCTGCCGCTGGTGTCAAGGTAAATTATCCTGTTTCGTCGGTGTTCGCAACACCGTTCACGTCATTGCATCCACTCGGACCCGTGGTCGGCACCTTTAGAGCCGTGAGGGCCCCTGAGGGGGGCACCCCCGCTCCCTCCGCTTGATATTGGCGGATTCCCGTGACATGCTCGACGTACATGTCACGGGACCACGCGATCGTCTCCGAGACGATCAGCCGCCTCATCAGGCCAGCGTAGCCTGACGAGACGCGCAGCAGGGCCAGCAGGCGATCGTTCAAAGGGTGCCAGCCTCCCAGGGCGCCTACAACGAAGCCGTCGACATAAACGATGTAGCCGCGCCCGCGCATGGAGTCGGCGAGGGGCTGGTACTTGCGTATCTTTTCCAACCTCGCCTTCTCCAGCGCTTCGAAAGTGTTTTCGAAGGGCACGGTCACATCGATCATGACGACGGTTCTCGACGGTTCATGCGTCACCACGAGGTCGGGACGCATGGCCGCGAGATCTTCGTCCACGCCTGGGACTGTCCTATTCACCCTTAGATCGCCCGGGAGCCTGGAGGCCGCAGCAAGCCGCTCGACAATGCGGTTGTGCCGCAATTGCCGAGTGGCCGCATGGGGGCCACAATGACAGAGCACATGCGGCAAGGTTTCCGACTGATTTCCGCATTCCATTTTATTATCAGTAAATAATACATTCCTCGTGCAACCAACACCCAGCCTCGCATTATTTGAGATTCATTTTGATCGTAAGTGAATGACTTTCAATAACCGTCTCAGAATTTGTTTGAATCGTCCATACGATTGTTTTGCCATCTGAGATGAAAATATTAAATTTTGAATCATGGATAAATATCATGTTTTCTCATTACATCATATTTTTTAATTAAACTTTATCATTTCTGAAATTTTCACATCTTTCTTTCATTTCATAATATTATCTATGATTGGCTCCGAATAATTCTTAGTAATTATTTTTCTTAATGTTCTTTTAGTTGAGTCACCAAATTTTTTATTGAAATATATTGTTTAAACTGTTGCTAATTTGGATGCATCACTTTTTCACAATGTTATTTACTCACAATGGGATTTAAATATGATGTAATATTATGTAACATGATATGATTAAACATTCTTGAGTAAATATTCCTTTTACAGTCGTAGCACTCTGAATATATATATATATACACTCGTAATTAATAAATATATGATGCATAGACATTATTACAGCAAACGCTGGTGACATTCGATGTTACACCTCGCTTCCTCAAGAAATGATTTTTCATTAAGGATGGGGTTGATGTTTATTAGATTTTGTGTTTGATTTGTACATTGTTTGTTTTTTACTCCCGTGATTAACATTTTGTTTGTGAAGTACTTCGTTGCTTAAATTTAAATCGCATTTGGAACGATAGACTCCAGCTGTAGGTAGGATGGATGGATTTGATAGCTTTGCTCTGAACTAGTGATGAATAACAAAAAAAAATTTCGGATTTTCGTATGTGACGTTGATGAAATTTCGTTGGATTCATTCATAAATTCTGATACTCTGTGAGCATCCCAACATGATTATTTGACACTGGTTGTCAGTGGATGGTTGAAGATTGAAGAATGAAGCCATTGAGATGTGTCAGTTGATGCTGATAAGCTCGTGTATTCTGTGGCGGAATACATTGATGTGTCCAAGATGAACGAATGAAGTTGGGGAATTTTAGTTCTTGAGTATGGGTTAGGTTTGTTCGAGAGTAATGAAATGTAATGAAAGGGTAAATGAAGCATTGAATTACTGTGACGCTGGGTTTACATTATTATGACGCTGGATTTGCTCGCTTTAACTTATTACAATGAACTACGCGTGGTTTACGATTGTACAAAATTATAACATTGTTATTATCTCTTATATCTAGAACTTGGTGAGGTCCGATATACTCTGATTCGAATTTATTTCGCTTTGGTTTACGTAATAGGTAAATGTTTGTCACCTGCGGAAAATTACTGGATGTTGATGTTTTCTCCTCATTTTCTTTTGTAATAATACTTAAAGCGGACTTTGGATTGATTTAAATTTATTCGCTTTGAGGAATCATCGTTATTATAATTTGAACATCGAAGGAATTCGAATTTTACTGGATGTAATTTTAAATTCGCGTTTTTGTAGACTGGACTAGTTTGTTAAATTTTTTTCTATGCTGTTGGAACGATCGTGCGTATGTGACAATAAGATAACGATAAACAAACATTTTGGTTTCCTGTATCCGTGTCAAAATGGTATCCCTTAAACGTTGGAAAGTGACTGGTACATTTTTATATCCAAATGGCAATCGCGTGTACTCATAGATTCTGTAAGGTGTGGAAAAATACTGTTTTTTTCCTCCATTCCAATTTTATGAAAATTACTAGCAAGTTCGAATGCACTAAAGTATTTAGGAGTTGACACTTGGATAGCTGCCGTAGCGTGCTGACGTGTGTGATTGTGCTCTCTGAAGTTTTTGTTACAACGCTGTGATTTCACGTTTCCCGAAATCCAACGTAGCCTAACATAAATGAAATAAATCTGGCGAAGAATCGCGTAATCTGGCCCACATTCAATATAGTGCCTCTCGATTAGATTTTCCGAATTAGGAAATATCGAAGATAGCTCAAGAAATATTTCCAGTTGCAAGCGATTCGAATCTAAGCCGCAACAATTTTCCTCCTCCGTGGCAGCTCGCTGGATTGTCGTTACAGATAAGACGTGACAATAGGAGCAATAAGAAACGTAAGCTAAATAGAGATGGAGATTTAAACACAGCCGCATACATATCGTCGACGAACCCTGTTTACACCACCAATAGAATACTGGATTCTATCGAAGACCCTATCGATGTCGTCGAAGCAACAACAAATCAGAATCCGAACATGCTCCTCTACCAAAGAACACGCTCCTCTACCAATATTCCTTGACGACATTATTCAAACAATGACAAACTCCTTGGAGAAAGTCAGAAACAGAAACGAATATAAGCTAAAAACCAATAACAAATACATGAAAATTTTTCCGGCCAACTGCGATACGTATAGAAGAATAACTAAACACCTAAGGATGCTGAATGCAAATTTCCTTACATTCCAATTAAAACAAGAGAGATCGTTTCGTATTGTCCTTTGTGACATCCAGCAGTCAATAAACCAAGACGAACTAAAAATTGAATTTTCGAAACTTGGTCATGAAGTAATTAATATCAGTAAACCTTAAACCTAAAATCATTATACACAGCATTACAAAAAATTCTCTATTTTATATTGATCTAAAACGAAAAGCTAACAACAAGGAGGTA